GACTTGACTGACTACCTGATGAAGATCATGACAGAGCGTGGCTACTCCTTCACAACCACCGCTGAACGTGAAATCGTTCGTGACGTAAAGGAGAAGCTTTGCTATGTCGCCCTCGACTTCGAGAACGAGATGGCTCAGGCAGCTGCATCAACCTCCCTGGACAAGTCCTACGAACTTCCCGATGGTCAGGTCATCACCATCGGCAACGAGCGCTTCCGTGCCCCCGAGTCTCTGTTCCAGCCTTCCTTCCTTGGCATGGAATCTTCTGGCATCCATGAAACTGTCTACACATCTATCATGAAGTGTGACGTCGACATCAGGAAGGACCTGTACGCCAACACCGTCATGTCTGGAGGTACCACCATGTACCCTGGTATCGCTGACCGCATGCAGAAGGAAATCACAACTCTGGCTCCTTCCACCATCAAGATCAAGATCATTGCTCCTCCCGAACGTAAATACTCCGTGTGGATCGGCGGTTCCATCCTGGCCTCTCTCTCCACCTTCCAGGCCATGTGGATCACCAAGGAGGAATACGATGAGTCCGGTCCCGGCATCGTCCACCGTAAATGTTTCTAAATCAAACTGAAATTATATCCCTTGTTATCCGTTTTCTCTGTTATATATAAATATGATATAAAGTTGAAAACAATTTTTGTTATCAGATATGTAAGTTCTTTGATTACGATAGCAAAGAACTAATGCATATTTTGTGTCTAATTTAAGCTCAAGAAATAAAAAAATACACTTTTTACATATCTTTATCCCTTTATCACATCTGGCCTGAGTGGCTCATTAGTCCTATCACTGATGCCATTAATCATTTCATAAGTTCCCTCACATAAAAAATGTACCGTGGCATTTAAGGTTGCTGTAACTAGTTATTTATCAATATTCATTTATCTGTCCATCCATGTACTTACATTCATATATCTATATAATGCATTTATACCTACACGCATATATATATGTATGTGTGTGTGTGTGTGTCTATATGCATATGTGCGTGTATATATATATATATATATATATATATATATATATATATATATATATAATCTATGTGTGTGTATATATATATATGTATTTATGTACATTTGTATATGTTAACACATATACCAAATACTTTCTTGCCACAGGAATGAAATACATTTATTTGAGAATATATTTTCAGGCATAAAAATGACAATGAATGAATATTGATTTCTAGGGAAAAAATCATAAAAAATAATGTATGAACAAGGCTAGTATGTAATATACTATACATATATACATACACACACACACATACAAATATATATATCCATTTGTGTTTGCATATATATACACATACATACATACATGTCTTGATAGATATGCGGCTAATTGCGTCGGCACATGTAGACATACATACATGTACGTATACATGTGTGTGTATGTATAGATGCATATATGCACGCAGACACACACAAATATGTTTATGTATGTATGTATATATATTATATATTATATATATATTATATTATATATATATATATATATATATATATATGTATGTATGTATGCACGCACGCAAAGTGAAACCGCCTCACAATACGACTTAAGTTACCTGAACTATGATATGGAACTAGACGACATTACTGTATGGATATGTACCATGTCTACTATAGCCCTTGAGATATTAATATCCCCTTTGTTATTCCTAATTTAGGTAAACTGAATTATTTTTCTTAATCTTTCAGAATCTTTTCTTTTTATTCATTCTCTTATTCGTTTGGATTTCTCTTCTCTCCTACCATTTATTTTTCAGTGCTGTTGATAATATTCTTTTTCTCTTTTTCTGACGTAACGATGGTTAGTATCTGTTTTTTGTTAAATCTAAGATTTTAATTAGCTTTTAGTATGGCTTACAATAAAAGAAAAAGAAAAGAGACGTCTTGGGCTGTATGTCTGCTTAGAGGTTGTTTTTTTTTTTTTTTTTTTTGGGGGGGGGGGGGGTGAGTGTAATATTCTCGTAGGGCTAAATAAGGTAACACAAAAATCACGTAGATACAATCTCGAGATCGAACAGGCCGCTGAACGTAATTTGAGGGTATGGGAGACGAGAGAGAGAGAGGGGGGGTGAGGGTATGTTATGTGTAAGTTGACAGACCAGATCCTTTTAACCAACTTTTATGTTAAGATAAAGTCACATGATTGGCCACAGTAAAGATACAAACAATAGAAAATGAAGTTCTTGTATTTACTGTTACTGTATTTACTCAAATTCAGAGTGACATTTTTTTCTTAGATTCGAACCATTACTCCATATTAGCGACACTTATGGCTGTGTCACAACATCAATTTTGAGTTCAACTCTGTATGTCAAAACACTAAACCATCAAAAAAGGTGATTTATTATTAAGCAATGCCACACCAAATTTGAAGTCACCGATAAAATCTTGCTTTCACATTTTTACATCATCCTACATACAATCACCCTATTCCCTCATACTTCATCACATCATATTTAAACTTATTT